CCGCGGCGGCGGCGGCGGCGGCTGAGGACGACGGGGAGGACTTTGGCGCCGACGATGACGGCGACGGCGAGGGCAGCGGCGGCGGCGACGACGGGATGGGCGGCGCGGGCGGCAAGGCGCCGCCGCGGCACCAGCTCGGCGCGGGGCGGCGGCTGACGTTCGAAGACCTGCAGTCTCAGTTCGGGCTGGGGCTCAAGGAGGCCGCGGCCAACCTCGGGATCTGCGCGACGACGCTGAAGCGCGCCTGCCGGCGGAACGGCATCACGCGCTGGCCCCGCCGCCAGATCGCCAAGCTGTCGCGCGCGCTGCAGCAGGGCGCGGGCGCCGCGCCGCCGGCGGGCATGGTTGAGCGCGCGGTCAGCTCCACAGGGCTGACGCAGCAGCAAATGGCGAGCAGCGTCGCCGTCAGCGGCGCGGCGGCGGCTGCCGCGGCGCCGGGCCCGGGCCGCGTCGGCAGCGGGAGCGCGCCGATCCCGATCGGGGCCGGCGGCGGCGGCGGCGGAATGCACGGCGCGCCGGCGGGCACCGTGTTTATCGGGCCGAACGGCATCCCCATGATGTTCGCGGGCAGTGCGCCCGGCGGCGCTGTCTTCGCCGCGCACCAGCAGCAGCTCGGCGCGTCGTACGGCGCCGCGGGCGCGTCGTCCTACCCGCCGCAGGCGCTGGCGGCGGTGCCCGATGGCAGCGGGGGCTACGTGCTCGCGCCCGCGGCGCATGGAGCCCAGCAGGTGCTCTACCACTCTGGCAGCGGCGGCAGCTACGGGGCCCTCTCCGCGGTCGCGAGCGCGCAGGACGCCGCGTCGGCGGGCGGCGGCGGGAGTGGCGGCGGCATGGTGATGCACTCGGCGCCGCAGTATGTGATGGCGCATGTGATGCATCCCAATGGTCAGGGCGGCCACATGGGCGGGCACCACATGGGTGGCCACCACGTGGTCATGCTCAACGCGCAGATGCCCCCTGCGTTCGCCGTGCAGGCGCCGCACGGCGCTCAGCAGCAGATGTTTGTCACGCACTCGCTGCCCGACCACCAGCAGCAGCACCAGCAGCACCAGCAGCAGCACCAGCAGCACCAGCAGCACCAGCAGCACCAGCAGCACCCGCAGCAGCAGCACAGCGGCCAGCTGCCGCACGCGGGCCACGGCGGGGCGGAGGCGATGCAGGATGCTGCGGCTTTTCTCGACCTGATCGACGGGGAGGACGATCTGGTGGGTGTCCGAGGTTAGGCCGGGGTGCGTTCCCGAGGTTCAGAGCGCCGCGGGCGGGCTGCCGCCAAGGCCGCCTGATCATGCAAGGGGCTAGGCGTGTCCAGAAGCAAGCGTGTTGCGCGAGGATCGGGTTTGTCGCCCCTGCGTGCGTGCGTGCGTGCGTGCGTGCGTGCGGCGGACGGCGGTCTCGGTGGCGGCAGCAGGCACGGCCTGTTGGGCACCGGCAGGTATTTACTTGTTCTGACCAGTGCGTGCTGCTACTGCTGAGTATACATACGATTTGACCATGATTTGTGCGCAGATGATCCCATCTGGCGGACTGGAGGCCCAAATTGGGGAGATGATGGCGGCAGCCGCCGCCGCTGCAGCCAACGGCGGCACCACGGGCCGCCCCGGCGCGCCCGGCGACGTCGCGGCATCGGCGCTCGCGGCCGCCGCGGCGCAGCGCCAGCAGCCGGCGCACCTTGCTGGGGTTTGGGACTGAGGGACGCGGCCAGGCCCGCCGGTCTCTGGAAGGGAGGTTTGGCGAATGGCAGGCCCCGCGGCCGGCGCCCGGGCGCCACCAGCACGCACGCGAGAGCGCACGCCCGTGGCGGCGCGCACGCCCGCCGACGCTGCGCTGCGCTGCAGACGGGCGTCGAGCGCGCGGCGCCGCCGCTGCCGGTTGCAGGAAGGGCGCAGACACAAGGACACAGAAATTCTCGGGCATACGAGGTGGTGCGCGGCACCAAGCAAGCGCCGTTGCGGCCCGCCAAGGCCCGCGCGGCTGCGGCGGCGCCTACGGCGGGCATCATCCAAATGCTGAGTCAGCGCCCTTGGAACTGAGGTCAGCTGGGGATGTCATTCACGGGGATGGACTGCCCCAGGAGACAGGGTGGGGGTTGTGGGGACGTCTGACCGAATTCTGACAAAGATTGACCGGGCGCGCCCGCCCGGTTGTGCATCCCGAAGACCTTCCTCTTGCGCGGCGCGCCATGCCGCCAGCAACATCGACGGTTTACTGTGCTTGATTGCAGCCGAGTTGGGTCGACAGGCCCCTTATGTGCGCGGGGGCACCCGTCGGAGGCTTGCCCTTTCCCCTGCCGTGCGGCTGGGGCCGGCCGGCGCCGCCATAGCGCCCGCCACGCTCCAGCCGGATCCCCAACCTGCAAGCTTCTTGAACCTCTGTCCAATCCGTTGGCAGCCCCCGCCACCTATATTTGCACCCACACATGAGCGCCGCCGACTGAAAAGGGATGGCACCCTGCGGCGAATGGCGCGGACCCCGCCGGCGTCGCGCCTCTGCATCTTCCACCCTCCCCCACCTGCAGTCGGCCCTCGTTCCGCCTCGGGCCATCCGCGCCCCAACGCATGGCCGCCGGTCGCGGCCCGGCGCCTCGAGGCGCTGCTCCCGGACGCTGCGCCGGCGAGCCGCGCTGCTCGTGCATGCCACCAACATGCGTGCGGAGTGTGCGCGCGCAGGCGCCCCCTCGTGGCCGAGTGTACCATACTATGCGTGTCGGAAGGGCCGAGCGAGAAGGGCGCGCCTGCGTGCGCGGCTCTTGCACCACGTCTGCCCGCTCGCGCGGCGCCATTCCCGCGCGGCCCCGCCGCTCCCGCGGAGCGGCGCGCATCTCCGCGCGCACCCGCGCGTCTCGCGGCGCGGCAGGGGCGGGCTGGAGCGCGCGCGTCCCCGCCCGCCGTCCGAGCGCCGAGCACTGTGCATTTGCAGGGCTGGGGCTCGCCCCGCATTCCTGGGAGCGGCTGCACCCAAATTGGGGGCCCACCCTGACTCTTGGATCGAGGGGGATTATCCTCCGCCCGCCCCGGATTTTTACACCAAATTGCTTTTTGCGCGCGGGCGCGGGCGCGTGCGCGCCGCGGCTTGGGTGCTCTCCCCGCTTGTTGCTGCTGGCTCGCTTGTCGGACGCGGGGTCCTGGCGCTTATTGCTTTTTTGTTGAGTAAACTCTTGCACCTGGTATCAAGTGTGCATCTTCTGCATGTGGCGCACAAACAACCCCTCACCCTCGAATGTGCTGACGCGACCGGAAAAAAAAACGGAACGGGAGCAAGCGCCACCTGTGGCGTTCGGCCACGGGCCGCAGGGGTAGTGGTGAGCGGGTTTGCTGTCAAACGCGGGACTAAGAGTGGGGGCTGGCAGCAGGACTAAGCACGCTGCTCACAAGGCGGGTGTTTCGGCGATTCGGCCAGGCAGGGCGAGCGCCGGCAGGGCGCGGCAGCTGCTGCGCGTGCGGCGGCCCCGGCGGCAGGACGACAGGGGCCCGCGCGACAGGCCGGCCGCGGGCCTGGCGCAGGCCGGCCATTGGGAGCAGCCTTGGTTGCTTTGGCTGTTCAAAGATGCACAGCTGACTGCCGGACCGCTCGCCACGCTTCTGGCGTCTGCGCTCGTTTCCCCTCCCCCGTTCGGCCCCGCTCGGCCCCACAGCACCCACGCCCTCGCTCTTCCCGCCGGCCCCTGCAAACGAGGCGTCCCGCGCGGGCGTCCACGTCGCGGCAGCATGGGCCTACTGTAAAGGCACTGACCACCATAAAGGTTGTGGACTCCGCCACGCTGCAGGAGGTGCCAGCTGGCCAGCTGGGCCTCGTGCTCGCGCGCGGCCCAGGGCTCATGCGGGGGCGAGCGGGTGGTCGAGATTATGTGTGCGCACACGCGGCTTGCAGCATCCGTGGGGTCGGTCCCAAGGGGATGGGTCAGCTGCAGGCCAGGGAGGGCGGCTCTTCCACAGGCGCACGGCCGCAAGGCTCACAGCGCGCAAGCTCGGCGTCGCGACAAGAGGGTCGCCCCATCTCCGGCCGCTTGGGCCCACTTGCCCGCGTGCCCGCCCGCCCGCAGCCGCCAGCCC